AACAGCATAATATTTTTTCAGCAAAAATGAAACCCTTCATTCCCTCCCCAGCCCTCTGTTACATGTCAAGTCACAGCATCACAACACAGGAACTTGTGCCAGTGTTTATTTTGACTAGATTTTAAATCAAATTAACCATATTGCACAACTTAATAGAGGTTCTTGATGTGACCTGCATAGTTCCTTGGGTACTGAGTTAACATGTGATATAAAATAATGTTCCATGATTTTGGTAGCCTGCTTATTTTTTACTTTGTGTTCATGTTATTGTAACCATATTGTCACATTGATAAATAATTACAAAATACATTAGTTAGTAAATGAAATCCTGACGTATGTGCTTTTTATGCACACTATAATATAACACATAATTCTTCCTTGCCCTTTCGTTGGATTTTGTAATAAAGGTCACAGTTACAGTCACAGGAGAATGTTGTCAAACCTGGAGGGTTGGCCATCTTTGCCACAGTGAAGCAGAAGAAAATGGACACTCTGGTCTTATTGTGACATTGTGAGGCAGTGGTCCGGTTGCACTGTCTCGCCAACATCCCTCTGACCCTCGCTGCTCAGCATGACACTGTCTGGAAACTGGGATCGTGAAAGTACACAGACAAAACAACAACATCACACTTCTGCATTCATTGACAAAGCTATTGTTAATAACTGTGGGTGTGTAAAGAAGCACAGGCCCATTTGAGTGTGGTCTGACAAATGATAGCACACAGTTGTTGCAATGTTTTCTACATACATTCCCCCATTCCTAGAATGTTTGAACTTTTATCCATACAAAACTGTTCAGTAGTTTCTTGCAGGATAAATGACAGTTATGTAACACAATTGTGTCACTATCAGTATCAGAACTGAAAAAGCTGGATCAGTGGATTCCTAACCAGCACACAAAATGGGCAAATGTAAACCACTGTTTTGTATTCTTACTCCAAAAACAGACGTTGTGTCAGTTTCTTCTACAAAGTTAGATGGCATGGTCTGTTTACGTATATAAATGACCTAGTTGGAGGACATTTGTCATCCAAAAGAATGTGGATGTAAAACAATCCACATTATATAAGTACGATGAAAAATTATCATTCCGTTTCCTAGATGTCACTAAGTGCCAGTGTAAAGGGCTATGATGTCAAACAGGATATCCTTCAGCGATAGAAAGTTGGGAGAGCAAATACAGTGATAGAAACAAACATGTTTTTACAGAAAGGGCCTCAGGAAACTGACACAATGGGGCTATGACATTGCAACTCAAAATAAATTTGATTAATTTCCCATTACTTACTGGAAATAAACCACTGACTTCCTTGAACACTTTCAGTTTGATTCCCAATTGTTTTCATCTGCATAACTGAAAAATTATATTAAAATCAAAGTTAGAAAGTCTTGTTTTTTCACAGCTGTAATGAAGTGTGTAGGTGTAATGTTAGTGCTCTTGGGGTTTATAATTAACAGCCCGGACTAGGACCTATAGGGGTGCAACAGGTTGCAGGCACCTAAACTAGTGCAGCTTAATGGAAGTGTATTATGTTTGCACTGCTTTGAAACTCAAATGCACATTCAGTCACTTTGGTCTACACCCAATAATTTGGATGCATTTTTATGGTGATACACTTATTTTAAGTTTGTGAGCAATTTAGCACATTCATATTCATTATTCATATAGGCAACATGGTCATTGTTGCTTACATTTAATTGTACAAATTATCAGCTAGTGAAATACGTTACCACAACCAATCTAACCAACCTTTCCTGTCTCCAACCCGGTCTACTGTATATTGCTAATATTATCCTAATTGGTTCTCATCCAGACACACCTGCCCTCTGGTGGTGCTGCTCTGGTATCTGCAAACGAGGGAAAATCGCAGATTTCCTTACACGATTTCCTTACAAAACAAAAAACCAAACCTCTCTTCCCTCAGATATTTTTTGTGGTATCCAAGAAGTCTAAATTTTCATCTTTATGTATCTTCAATGCTGAAATCTTTAGACTTAGAATCGAACAGCACAGCATTTAAAGTCTCTTAGTTAGTAGCCTTTTCAATGACTTTTTAAGATGAACAATGTCCCATTTTAGGTTTTGATTTTCCTAGTTAGAACTGTAAAAAAATGCACATTGTCGTTGACATTAAATCTTGAACAGCGAATAAACGCGTCAGAAATCCTGCGCATGCGTAGCTCATGACGGATGTGGTATCTGCGCCGAGCGGAAGCCGTGAGGTCCTTTCTGCTCCCGAACAGCCATCATGGTGAGTCCGCCATGAGAGTGTTGACAATATTATATAGTTTTTTACCTTAAAAATGTTCCATAGTGCTACAAGTCTGTCATGGTCGGCCACTAAAAAGCCTTATAGTTGCAATTAATGTTCATGTGGCCTGTTTGTATCTGTATAATTACGCTTTTAGTCCTGTTCCTGTGGAGTCGTTTTTCCGTACAACGTGGTCCGGCTACGCGTGAGCAGCCGGGGCGTTTTATGTATCCATATGCACAGCAATAACTAATGGATATTTCCTATTGAGTATGAACCCTACCTTTGTGAATTTTACCTTGCGTCATTGAGTAGCGACAGTAGTTTGAGCGCAAAACTAACTGCGGTGGCTCAGCTCGGTCTCAGCCTTGTCCAGTAGACGCTGTTGGTGTGTCCATGGGCAAGACACTTCACCCACTTTGCCTATATCACTACCATGTGTGAGTGATGGTCAAAGGGACCGACGTACAGATTAGTTCGCTTAGTCTACCTCAGGGCTGCTGTGGCTATCGTAATGACTTTCCATCTTGTATCTTTCGGCGTCTAAAAGCCTTATTTAAACAAGTCATTATACATGTTATTTTATGTTTTCGCAGGTGTTCACTCGTTTTGTTGAGATTGGCCGCGTTGCATACGTCTCATTTGGACCCCATGCTGGCAAATTGGTGGCCATTGTAGATGTCATCGACCAGAATAGGGTAGGTAATATTTGGTCAATATAATAAAAATACATTTTTGACTTTCTTTTAAATGTACAATTTCTGCTTTAAAGGCTCTTGTGGATGGACCCTGCACAGGCGTGAAGAGGCAAGCCATGCCCTTCAAGTGCATGCAGCTCACAAATTATGTGATCAAAGTCCCCCACAGGTAAGTCTGGAAAATGAATGTATAGCAAATGTCCAAGCATTGTTTTGTATGTTCTAGCCTGTGTTAGAGTATAGATTGCTTAGATTTTGCCTTAATTCTGCAACATCCGCACATCTGGTTTACTTTTCAACTTATCAATAAGGAGATGTTTGTGGAAAGAACTGCTATAAATCCCTGTATTTCTCCAATCTACTCTCTTCAAACTTATTTTTGAATTGTCATTGTCAGAAAATTATTTAATAGCTTAATGTACGGCTTGATTAGCTACTCTACCCCATTTAGCTGCAGAAATCCACTTCTATCATCAGCCTGGAGTTTTGTAAATCTGGTAAAATAATATATGTACATTCTTTTCCACAATTTCTGAAACTTATAAAGCTGCTTAGTCAACGTAGTTAATTTCTATGGGAATTCTTTGCCACTGCCAGTATGGGGTTTGGAGGTGCGTGTCAGGATTACATGTCAACAACTGCAGGAACTCTACTGAAGTCAAGATCTTTGTCAATAAGTTTTCAATATTTTTCAGTGCCCGCCAGAAGTTTGTCAAGAGAGCTTGGGAGAAGGCCCAGATCAACGAGAAATGGTCAGAAACTAGTTGGGCCAAGAAAATTGAGGCACGACAGAAGGTGAGTTTGAAAAGTCTGCATTATTAGAACCAGGGCAGCAATTGAAATTATTGTGACTAGCCGACTATTGAGATAATTGTTGTATGTTGATTATTATAATTGGACCATACAGACACGCCATTGCCAGCGAGTCTGCTACTAAAATTTTGTCGCAGCACTAATGAGTACTCATCACTTGGGCTGCGTTCAGACTGCAGCCTGAAGTGACCCAAATCCGATTTTTTTGGCTTGTATGTGACCTGTATCCGATCTTTTAATGACAGTCTGAACGGCACAGATCCGAATTTTTCAAATGCGACCCAGGCCACTTGGATATGTGGTCCTGAATCCGATACATATCCGATCTTTTAACATGCGACTTCAGTCTGAACGGCCAAAGCGCATCCATCCGACCTACACGTCATTAACAAACGACAAACGTCACTATTCTGCGCTGAAGCAGGCGGAAACTGGAACTGTAAAATCGCCAGGTGCTCAATGCTCGCGACCATATTTGGACAACTTCCGTAAACACAGAGCACGCTCGCTGCGGTTGACGCATGGGGTTGACGTCATCGTGTCCTCCAGTGCGCATGCGGGACACTTTCGGGCCGTTTACCGTTCACACTGAAGTCACAGACAAGTCGCATTTAATTGCAAATGTGAACGACCTCGCAAAAGCATTAAGCCCTGCAGTCTGAACGTAGCCTTGGTCTTGATGGTTAGATGGCTTTATGCTAGCCACTGTCACTTAAAACTTTTTTTTTTTTACTTCAGACTTTCTATCTAAACTGTCATTGTACTAGTTTTCCTAAAGCAAGTTTGGTTATATAGCCACACAAACTCTGTTTTTTAAGGTATTTAATATATCCAGATATTTTCTGTCCCTTGACAGGAAAATTGTGGTCACTAAATCACCAGGCACTTTTTAAAAATTTTAGTATCCTTAAAAAAACTAATGTATACACATTGCACTGAAGAACTGGCTTCAAGTTGAAAATGGCATACACTGCACTTCAAGTGTTTCCCTGTAGATGGCACTAGTCACCTAGAGGAAGAATTGTCAAAGTCTGGACACTTGTATAACAAAACAAATCTTCTCATTTGACATTGTTTTTTTCAGAGAGCCAAAATGACGGACTTTGACCGCTACAAGGTTATGAAGGCCAAGAGAATGGTAAGTTAGTTTACATGTTAATTGAACATGTTTCAATAAGAATTGAGGGCTTTTTCAAATGTGTTTTCTATTGGTGATTAAATTATTGCAGTTACGATCGCTGCATTGGAACTTGTACTCATGTGTACCTTTTTTTTCTAATCTTTTCTACAGAGGAACAAGATCATCAAGCATGAAGTGAAGAAGCTTCAGAAGGAGGCTGCAAAGAAATGAACAGATTTTCCAAAAATAAAGTCCTGTTAAATTCTGAATTGTTTCTTTTTTTCAGAACTTTAATGTTTTTCTGTGGAATTCCTGAATTGTAATCAAAGTATTGAAAGGTCAATCATAATGGGTAAACTGTAGTACACTCCAGCTTTTTTAGCTGCTGTGCATAGAAAGTTCCATGCCATACTGGACTGTAAACCAGTCAGTTGCCCTGCATTTACTCCTAAAGTGTCAGTAAAGTACTCAAATTAAGAAAATAAAATGTTTATTTGATTAGGCTGCAAAATAATTATTCATGATTCATGTATTAAAAGCTTTCTTACCTGAAAGTTTTACCTGGGCATTTTATTGCGTGATTCAATTGCTATAAAAAGTATGTTTATTCTGAAATTTACCCCGAAGTGGGATTGTACACAGTGGAATAAAGGCCAATGACATTGGCCTTACAGCAACTACTGCACAACACTGGTTCGGTTGCTTCTTGGTATTGTCATGCCATGGCCTCTGAAAACACGCTCTCTGACAGCGTGAGTCTGACGTCTAAAATTATACATATGCGCAGTCTGTGATAAATTCGAGCATTGCAGGAAATGCATTTTCTTCAAAATAAAGTTAAGTACATTGAGCTGAGGTTATGGGTGTTCCATCACGGTTACAACTCTGGTCGTGATTAGGTGTATTGTTGACAAACAAATCACAGCTTTTTATTTGTTGGAGCAGTTCACAGTGATGATCGCGCGGTGTTGCCATTGATTTACTGTGTTGGAACAATCGACATTTGAAATTTTATCCCGGCTTTTCACTGGCCGCCCAACTGCAATTTCCAGACGTTGTGCTGATCACTTGCATAGAAAAGTGCTTTTATTTCGAAAAACCTTTTCCGTATTGCGACTGGTACCAGGCAGCTTTATTGTGCACTTGACGCGTGGGAGAGAAGCAGAAAGAGGGGGAGGGACAGGTTGACTGTGTCACATTCACAACGGGGTCTCGGAATCAAATGTGCCTGGTTTATTGTTGGTCAGATTCAGCGGTAAAAGGGGGATACGACTTGTGGATCCGTGGATCTGCTGCTCTGCGCCCCTGAACCTGAGACTCGATCTTTACGCTGGTAAGTAGGGCTGAGGTGATGGTGCATTCGGATCCGCGGTGGTGGGCCCTGCAGTAATGTGTTAAGTTACTGGATCTATGTGGGTTTTAATTGTTTGTAGTGCATTTGAGCACGGTGTCCGTGCCTTCATTGATTTAATTTAGTTGACTGCTGCTGTGTGCTGTGATTGTCTTGATCTGCGCTGTCATGTTGTTGTAGAGATGCAGCCAGCAGCAGCCCTGTCCCCAATGGGCCAGCAGCACCTTTGCAGCGTAAGTGTAGGCCATAGAGGTTTGACAAAATATTGATAGGGCTATTAATGTAAAAGCATGCACAGGCCATGTTTGTAGTCTATTTCCTCTGTCATTTATTGTTCCAGGATATTACAAATATTAAAAATTCACGGAATTAATTGTTGATACATTTTTTGGGGGGGACGATCACAGCCATTTCATATTCATTATGGGATCGTTGTGACAAACATAATTTATGTTTTTATAATGCTGTAGCTTATTAATATTGTGCTGCACATAAATGGATTAGAGTTGATTCATGAAAAACTATAGGGCCATACTGATACATCTTTAAATAATGCTATATGGCAAATTCCATTGTAATGAAACATAGAGTATTTTGTTCTAATCAAGTAACAACATATCACAACTATCACTTATGGGTAAAAGAGTAAATAGTGTGTTAGTACTGCAGGCATACACAACTTGTACTATTAGGCCTACCTTGTAAATCAATACATCAGCAGCACCTTGAACAGTTATGCAACCACTCTCAAAAGCATGTTTAACTGGTACTTGTCATGATTACACAATAAGCTTGAACTTGTCAGGAACATGTAGGCTAGTTGTAAAGTTAGGTTCACTTCATATATTTTACCATTAATCATCTAAAGCTATTTTAAATATTTTCCATACATTAGTTGTCCATTCATATTTGTATCTCATATCCGTCATTATTCTTCCATTTACTTCAAAGATTCTCAATATGCAAATTACTGAAAGTGAGACACAGGTAGCCAACTTTGCAGTCTTCAATGCTGTGCTAAGGAGTGAATTGTTAATGTGATTAGACACATACTTAAAGTACTAAGAGTACCACATTAAGGGCAAATCATTAATTGATGAGATTATGTTGATACCCTCATTTGACTGAGCCCCCTATGGCTGTCTGTGGAATTTATATAATTTAATTCATAAATAGCAATGAAGGGTCTTTTACCTAAGAGGTCTGCAGCCATCATAAAGGAAACTGAAATTAACTTTCTATGATTTTTGTTTTGTTTTGAGTAATATACTGTACACTGCCAGGGTGAGAAAAAGAGACATTGATATTTTTACATGTTATGCTGGTAGGCGTGTTCCCTGGCAACCACTATTTGGTTTGCCTGTTGTTTCTGTTAAAGCCAGGTGAATGGGGCGCTCCTTGGCCAGAGTGAGTTACCTCTCCGGAATGTGAACACTAACTTTTTCCATACTTTTGGCATGGTGCTAGTTTCTTGGAAAAAGAATTAAGTAGCATTCCTCAAGGCATAGTTTCATAATCAGGACAAGAAAGCATGACGAAAGTGGATTTGTTGTGAATGAAGCTCAGTTCTCACATGTTTCAACAGTGGTGTTTACTATATAACCTTGGACATTTTGTACAGTTAAATGGTAATGTAATCGCAGTCTGTTTACTAGACCATGTGGCATTTACTCTCTAGTCAAAGTATTGCTACTTCAGAATATTGCAGATGCTAAATAACCCATAAGGTATCCTGAAAACTGCGCTCATAACATATTAATGCACAAATCCTCTAGCTATGTTTTTAAGTTTCATTTACTGATTAGCATCTAATACTACCCAGTCTATTTGAAGTTTACTGAAAGTAGTAATTATCTGTTGGTGTCTGTTAATATATCTAGGTATATAAAATTTATAATTTTGTGCTCTTCTTATCCACAGTAAGGTACTTTAACATGGGACTAAAGTGACCAAAACCTCACAGACATACTTGAGATGGGCCACTGACCGTGCACCAAGTGGCAACTTAGCAGCTATGTCCACCATCAGAGCCATGGCGGGACTCAAGCGCCATCATGATGGAAAGATAGCAGGCCTCTATGACTTGGACAAGACACTGGGACGTGGCCATTTTGCTGTGGTCAAATTGGCCCGACATGTGTTCACAGGAGAAAGGGTACACTATGCCTCTATTTTCTGCATAAATGATTCCCTAATTATTCGATATTCTTCGTAGTTAAATCTGAGGCTCTTTTCAGGTTGCAGTAAAAGTAATAGATAAGACCAAGCTTGATCCAGTGGCACGGGGTCACCTTTTCCAGGAAGTCCGCTGCATGAAGCTGGTTCAACATCCCAATGTAGTTCGCCTTTATGAAGTCATTGACACAGCAACCAAACTCTACCTCATCCTAGAGCTGGGAGACGGAGGGGACATGTATGACTGCATCATGAAGCATGAGGGAGGACTCAGTGAAGAGGCAAAGACTAATTTTATACTTTCATTCACATTATTATTATGAATTATTGTTGGGGTAATCATAACTTTTAAACTTTTTTTTTAATAGCCTATATTTTAAAATAAAAAAGTATTATACCCTGTGAGAGAAAATTCCAACTTCCACACTTTGCAGAATGGAAATAAATCAGTTGTATGCATGTATTTATTTCTAACATCAATGTCTTGTTTCCCCATAGGTGGCTAAATGTTACTTTGCCCAAATTGTCCATGCCATTTCTTACTGCCACCAACTCCATGTGGTGCACCGAGACCTAAAGCCAGAAAACGTGGTTTTCTTTGAAAAACAAGGCATAGTGAAGCTCACTGACTTTGGCTTCAGCAATCGATTTCAGCCAGGCAAAACACTCAACACCTCATGTGGTTCACTAGCTTACTCTGCGCCCGAAATCTTACTGGGAGATGAGTACGATGCCCCTGCTGTCGGTAAGTTACTTTCAGATCTAGGTTATTCAACATTGTCTTGTCATTTATCAGTTGTGGGTCATTAATCTTGCTTAGTGGAGCATGGTGTTAGATCATAGTACAGAGTCCATATTCCTAATCTTTATTGTCAGCATCAGCATATTCAAGATTTGTTAGCTAATGGTATCTTTGCCACTTTTTTCTCTCAAATAATCAAGACCATGAACATAGTTAAAGTATTATCTAAGAAATGGAAGTTATTTTGTTTTAATATTTACAATTTTCGTGTGTGTTTTAGTCCGAGTCAGAATCTTGATCTTCAGAAAAAAAAAAAAGCTAGGCGTGTTTTCTGTCTGACATCATGCAGCATAGACATTTCACTGTCACAATATTGTTCCAACTACCGTAATTGGCATGGGGCATTATGTAGCAAATCTAGCTATTGTGTGGGTCATCCTGTTAGGGCATTGTATCATTATAATTGCTTACTAACTTTTACTCCTCACACAATAGCATATTATGTAAGCATTGCCTGATTGCCACTAGTCTCAATGTAAAGCTGTTATAATCTTGAACTTTGTCTGTTTGAATGAGTGAACATTGCTGGCCTATAGTTACTTATCACTTATCACCGTTATGCTTGTTTATGATGCCATTGTTTCATATCAGGGTTGGTTGTCCTGAGAAAAAGCAATCTGAGCCCTTGACCCAAATGCTAAATCAGATGCCACGGAGCATGCTCAGTCCATGTGTGCGTCTTCTATCCTCTGCAGTGCCTGCACAATGTTCATTCAACTGAGATGATGATGTTTGCATCCTGCTAAGTTGTAATATATAGTGACGAAACAGCAGTTTGTTGTGAGAGAGGGATAGCAGACTTGATGTACAGGCCCACTAGATCTCTTGACCTGACCTGGCCAATCTACCTGTGCCATCTGCAGGGTTTTGACTCTGCTGGGGTTAAGCCAGATGGCCCATAGCCCATTTTTTTGTGGCAGAGATAAAACTGCTGTCCTTACTTAGCTTTTTTCCTATTGGACCTGGTCATAGAGAAGTTAAATGCTAATATGGCCCATCAAATCAACCATAAAGGATCCTATCCTATCACAAGGGTTTTCACACAGTGCCAAATTGACTACTGACAGGTTATTAGAAAAATAGATTTCATTCTAAAGCTAGTGCTGCTTTTATTTATTGTTTTTATTACTTGCTTTTTTCTGGAACATAATTCTGATGACTTTTTAAGAGTTGAATGCTTTACATTGCTATGTGGAGCATTTTGGAAACTTAACTCTTAAAATATCCTATACAAATAAACTTTGATTGGATTAGATCTGTTTTTAGAATTTATAATTTTAGAAACATATGGCAAATGCTATACATATAGTAACTTAGAATATATCCCCAATGAGTATACTGTACAACTATATTGGAGAAAAATAAATTCATAGCCACTTTTCATCTTATTAAAATAAAAATGTTGCCATTTGTGTCACAACTTCAAAAGGGCTCCCAGTTATCAGGTTACATGGCAGGGAAAAGGAATGTTTACCAACCCCACTAACACTGCTAAGTAACCAAGGTTAGCACCCATCATGCTAATATGCATTGACGTGAATACTGTTATCCAGTGATGTGTCAGCCATCTGGTTTTATAAATAAAGTTATCTTGGAAGGAAGTTTACCGCTCTTATGACGCAAGTGATGAGAGAGTGAGGTTGTGGTTGCTAGGAGACATTGGTCAGGGGTGAGATGGTTATGGGGAATACAGCAGCGGCAATTCTTCGATTGCACAGCCTTTACAATATTGGCCTACCCACTGCACACTGGCACAAAATAAACACGAAATTGTTTACCTGTACAGTCCTCATTGAGTATCTTTTAAAATAAATCTTTAGATTGATTCTAACTTCCCGACTTACTTAACAGTGTGCGTACATCTCCACAAAAAATATCTCCTTTTCTTTATTCTGGACCTATTTCCAATGCAGCAAATTGAAACCAGGCACTGGGGCAGTTAGAAGAGGGAGAATTTCTCTGATACCGATACATGAAAAAAATCCCCTGACATCCCTACTGATATAGCACCAATGTACCATATAGTCTATTGCTGAAACAGATTGTGGAGATGAAATGAAGCTTCTGCCCTCTGAAGGAAACTGATTTATGTGGTACCACATAGGCGCACATTGTATGCAAAGCCTGTTCTCCCATAGACGGAAAAGCAGGTCAATTCAGTGACAGGGCATCTGCCTCTGTCTCTATCAGACAGCAGGCTGCAGGATGTGTGTCAGTAGACCATGTTGTTGACCAGGGATATGGTTCATGCCTTGAGGTACAGAAAATATTCTAAAAATAGCTTTTCAGGCCTGATGCATTGTACCATGAAAATTGCATTTGTATGTCACTTTGTGGCGTGTGTATATATTAACCTACTTTTCTGTGTGCATTTGTGAGACATCATACATTTATTTGTGATGTGGTCAACATTGTATAAATGTTTTGATCTAATGAAATTCACCCTTAATTTAGGAGGGAGACTGCTTTACATTCAAAACACTGAGCAAAAAGATGTTTGTCATACTTTTGGTGCTTGCTTTTACCAATATGATCTCTTATTTGATGCAATGACTTTATTGTAATTTCTTTGTGCAGATATTTGGAGTTTGGGAGTAATCCTTTTCATGCTGGTTTGTGGTCAGCCCCCGTTTCAAGAAGCTAATGACAGTGAGACGTTAACTATGATCATGGACTGTAAATACAATGTCCCGGCACATATCTCCGCTGCATGCAGAGAGTGAGTAACACACAGGCACACATGGTCCCCAGCAGATGCTGCATATTTCATGTGTCAAGTTGCGAAAAGAAAAGCAGCGGAGAGAGAAGGGCCTTTTGGCTGCTCTTCCTGAGATGCACTGCAGCGTTAAGTGTATCTAATGCACCTTTAAAATCAGGCCTCTATTTTTACCATGGCACGGGTTTAACCATGCATCAAAGAGGAGCAGACTAACTCACTGTGGGTGCCCAATATGAACTGTGCAGCTTTCTTTCATGACTTGATTCAGACACACGCTAGTTTAAATATGGACAAATGTGTGTGTTCCTGCCAATTTTTCAGATATTAAATAATATATCATAAAGTTTAATGGCAACATTTTTGCTATACAGACCTATTTAAATATTTTCAATGAAATGTAGAGAAATTAAAAAGGTGAATTTTGCAAATGCTCCTTTTTCAGAATATTAATACTCTTGCTTTACCCCGCAGCCTCATTGGTCGCATGCTGCAGAGGGATCCAAAGAAGCGGGCAACCCTTGCAGAGATTGAAAGCCATGACTGGCTGAAAGGTGTTGACCCCTCCCCTGCCACTAAGCTGTCCACCCCCCTGGTGTCCCATCGCAATGTATCAGAAGAAGAACATGGTTCCATTATTCAGAGGATGGTGCTAGGAGGCATCGCAGACCGAGACAACATCACTGAGTATGTGATTATTGTGAACTCTTTTCACCAATTGTCATGGTTTACTCAGGCCACACAAGCAAAATGATTATCATATTTCTGAATGGGCTTGAGTAGACTACTTTTTGTTTTGTAATCAGCTTGCAGTGGCCATGTCAAATTCAATCTTCACACCTGTCATTTCCTTTTGAGTCCCTGTGACCGAGCATTTAGTTTTCTGGTTTTCTTATTTTCTTGTGTAATTGTGTTTCAGAGGTTGTTTAATTGTCTACATCTCTCTTCACAGGGCTTTGGAGTCAAATCAGTACAACCACATCACAGCTACATATTTCCTACTGGCAGAGAGGATGCTCAGGGAGAGGCAGGAAAAGGAGGCGTTCAATCAGACACGATCACCCAGCCCCAGCAAAGCCCAGTTCAGGTACTTGCTCTCAGTTACAAACTGCTAAAACAGGGACACAATAATGCAGGGGTGGGCAATTATTTTTTCCATGGGGCCACATGAGAAACGGAAAATATTGTGGAGGGCCGGGCCAAAATGCTTAACTTAATTATGCATAAGATTAATTGTATTTCTTTATTTAAAAAAAAAAAAGCAGTAAATAGCATTGTTTTGACAAGCTGGTGGTTTGATTGGTAAGAGTACATGTTATGACTAAGCAATGGAAAAGTGAGGTTGCCTTACAAAAAAATTTCATAAAAAACACCTCTAAAATAAAAGCAATGCAGCTTTATTCCATGCATGAGGTAAAATTATAAAATATGTTTATTTTATAATTGCCGGTCAGAGTCAATCAGTATGTGGCCTGGGAGCTGTACAATGCCCAGGTCTGCACTAATGTAACTGACGGAAAATGTAAGATAGTTGTATAAATGGTCAGTTTATAGAATTTTCAAACCTAATTTAGCCATCTATCTAATCTTTTCGCATAATTTAGTATTTCAGTTATCATAAGAACAGAAGAAAACTTTACATATCTTATCTTGCAGACAATCTTGGCCCACCAGAGTGGATGTTCACCAGGATGTCAGTGATGGTTTAGGAGGCCCCCCTATCTCGCACCCTGGGGGACCACAGTCTCCTGCACGTAGTGCAGAGAGCCTCCACAAAGGCCCTAGACCCAAAACCGCTCTACTGGATGTTAGCCAGCACCATGACAACCACACATCAGCAACAAACCAGGAGGCTGCACGTGGACCTCGACCACTGGGCAAACCCCAGTCCATCCCACATCGCCTGGGCCCCCTGACTGCTGGAGGTCCCTGTAAACCTCGCAGTCCTAGTCTCTTCAGTGTGGAGGAGGATGAAGAGGAAGAAGGTGGGGAAGGAAAATGTCTACCACCTGCTTCACTTCCAACTCAAGTGGTGCTCCGCTGCAAATCCTCCTCTTCTGGAAATCGCCTGACCTCCAGAATGAGTGCTCCTGTACTCAACCAGATTCATGAAGAGGACAGAGAGGAAGAGGAAGATGAGGACTGTAAAGAACTGCTTGGACTGGGTGCACCGAAACCTAGCCTTAGCCTCAACTTGAACTCTAGAATACAATCACCGTCACAAATAATGCTGTCACCTAAAACTGTTATTTCTATGAGTCCTGGCTCAGAGACTAGTGATGATGATTCAGGAGATGCTCACAGAAAGCCAGTACGGGACAGCGTACGTGTGACAGATGTGAGAACAGAGGACAAAGACAGAAGGGGGACAGGGCAAGGCAGTCCCTGCAGTCCTGGGTCAGGGCCTGGGCAGGCCAAAGCGAAAACAGCGAGCGGTCTGGTGGAGAGCCTGAAGCTTATGAGCCTCTGTCTCAGCTCCCAGTTCCACAATCTGACAGGTGGAGGAGGGGGCAGTGGGGGCGTCAGCAGTGACCCTCAGGACCGACCGGTATGGAGAATGTGCATGGGTGGCTCCACTGGTAGTCTGGATAAGGTTTCACTCTTAGGGGGTCCTTCACCTAGAGGGAACTCTTGCCAACAGCGTTCACAGCACCAGCCCACAATGGGAGACACTTTTGCAGATCCATTGCTTGATGGGCCATGCTCTGGGACATTGAGGTTGGGAGAGCTGGACTTGGCCAGAGAAAACCACAGGAACATGAAGAACCGTGTGCTTCAGATGCCCCTCAGTGACAAGACACTATCTGTGAATATTCATCGCAGCCCCAAAGAGGGACTGTTGTGCACCCCCACCCCTCACAGCTGCTGCCAAGTCATCTAGGTTTACTGTGACCTACTGTACAGTTACATGCCTCACCTATTTTTTACTCCTGCACATGCACAGCCATTGCACGTGATTACATGCACTCGATATTCCTCTATGACTTGCTATTACTAGATAATATTTCTATGAGAAAAAAAATATGTATTGAAAGTGTCTTAAGACATGCTCAAATGCATGCAGGGCTAAACAACTATACCAATTATGCGGCCAAATTAACAGAACGCTATGAGTACATTTAGGGTATCGTGGGCATGTAAATATGTAAACTGTATAATTGGACATCACCATTTATGTCATCGTTGGTCAGTTATTCCAGTACTTATTACTGTTTACAACTGGCTGTGGCAGGAGGAGCTGCACACCCACCGTTGCATGTGTTGCACATTTAAAGAGTCTATGAAACAGGCTATGTGCCTCCAATGTATAAAAGCATAAAGGTTTATTTAAGGTCCTTTTGTTGAGATGGGTAAATAGAAACCACAATGACACTTTCTGCTCATGACTGCGCTCAAAGCGCTCGCACAAGTGTGTCTCACTATGTACCATGTACAGTCACTCATGTTACATACTATATGTTATATTAATTATATTTTTAATACCATTCTTTTAAATTATTTTTGTGATAATTATTTTATTGTTTTTTGACTAAATGATTGCAAAAAGAAATGAAATGAAAATCTGCTGAACTGCAGCACTTATGTGGTGCTCCATCACAGTTTTATTTTTCTATGTCATATACTATATGCTTGGAACGAAACGCACACTTATTTGGCCCTTACTCTGTTTCCCTATGGTGTTTGTACATATGTGAATATTCCCCCAGACATAATAAGCTGTACTTGTATTGGCAGTAGAGTTGTCTTGCAGTAGAACCCATGTAGATCCATATGCCATCATTCATTTGCTCTATGAAGTATTCTGAGAATAGGTTTTTTAAACCTATTTCTGTATTTTGTGTATTTCATAGTGTGTTTGAATAATGGTAGCCACTGTAGCATATTCCAACACTATAAGGTCTTAAAATATACCATACCATCACAGCTCCTTTATGTATTGATCAGTGTAGCTGGAATTGTGACCCACTCTTAGTGGAATATATACTCTGACAGTGCATGTGTTTTGCTGTAGCAACCTTATTCTTCGCCATCACCTGCTGTTATCTCAGTAACGGGTTAAAACAGTCACTTTACTGTAGCCACCACCCAGCAATACCAGCAACTGCAAACTGTACAAATAAAAATGGATGTGCCATAAGTTCTGTCCTTAGCATATTGTACTGTATGTATATGATAGAGATCTATTAAATTATTACAATGCAATCACTTTTTGAGTTAGTCTTGTCTGTATAATTTCAAGGTTATGCACAAAACTGAAATATTTTAAAGAAATTACCTTATTTGGTGTGGTATATTTATGTGATCATTATGCTTTTGTTCACCACATTTAATACAATTTGATAGAAGTAAAGGACATCAAGCCTATAAAACAAGTGGCAGTAATAAAGACAGTACAGCATGTATAATGATGTTTACATCATAACATCATGGAATACACATTCTCCCATCATGTTTGTTTTCCTGAATGGTCTCCCAGCATCAGATGGAGCCTATAATCTCTTCCACATCTGGACTACTGTTCTGTATCAGGCAACTGGAGGGAAATTAGATCAGACCAGATAAGCTTTGGGTCAGCAATGAACTCGTGCAACCCCCCAGACAGCAGACAGGGATGATCATGTGATGTAGGGCTGCACAATTTAATTGACATTGACATTTTACTTGGTGCAGTTAACAATCACAATGTCAAAAATTATTTGATTGATACCCCTCTAGACTGTTAAATACATGTTCGAAAACGTATTTATTGTATTAAGCAGTTCATGTATCAATCTTTTCTCAACTGTGATTAAAATGTACAATGTGAACTGAATCTGAATTTGAAAACATAAATTGCTGATCTAATTGCATTTGCTATAGAGAAAAAAATATTTTGGTCTCATGACAAAAAGGTGAAAGCATGAAAGATGAGACACAAGGGAGGAGGGATGTGGTATTGCTAAAGTAAATTTAGCTCTGAGAATATGTGTGTCAAGAGGATAGCATACTGAAGTGAGTAAAGTGTATCAGGACATGTGCATCAGTGTAATCCCATCACAATCCTCTCAAATGTGCATCGCCATCATCACCCAATCAACACACTTGCACTCATCTTATTTTAATGATGTTTTCTGGCACATTTGAAGGGGGTGGGGGAGGGGGCATTAAGTTGTAAAATGCTGAAATTGGTAATTCACAAAATACATGCATATCGGATATACTGCAATCTTGCTTGTTATATTTATCCACATTTTTTCTTAAAACATAGTATTTTCTGTTTCATGTTTGTTTCTAAATTTTAACTGTACATGATATCATGAAATCATTTTTTTTTTTTCATTATAATCAACTAGGTTAAGGGTGTTGGCACAACTATAATGATTTGTTAAATGTACAATGTGAAACCAGGGATTTTCACAGAGTATTAAAAAGTTAGAGAAGCAAAAGAGAATGAGTCAGTTCACAGACTATTTTTATGTCTGACAGCCTGAATACTGGCAACAAAAAGAGAGAAAGTAGAAGCATTCAGACAGCACAGACCTCCATCAAGGCAGTAGTACTTACTCACAATGATACAGTAGCATGCACAATGTATAAGGCCTATTTGTTTAGCTGGTGTATATTCTGAAAGCCCCTGTTCTCAAGGGAGTACTTTTTATGAAACTTAATTAGTAGCCTAAAACCAAAACAAATTCTTTATGTAATAGAACTTCAAATGTCATTTTATTATTACAATTTATGCCTCCTTCAAGGGGGAAAATGATCGGTAATGGTCTTTAAATGGGTTCAAATGTGTTCTGTGAAATATATGTGGTTGAAATCCTTTTAGCATAAGATGTACTATTATGAAAGATATGCTATGAAATGCTGCCTGCTCAGCATGTCAGTCAGTCCAAGCGATGTTACCCATTCAAACCTTTTCTTAGAATTCTGAATCTTAAACTGTCAATGACCCTCTTGGATTATTTTTTATGCCTGTGTGAATGGTTACATCTTACATCACCAAGTCTTTTTGCTTCTGCATTTCTGTAGAAAATCTTGCAGCTGGTAAATCCCTCTTGGTTTGTTCTACTCCATTCAACACTGTGATCACTAATGCTGTCCCCACAGGCAGAATGTAAAAAAATACAGATTTTATGTGACTTTTGAGGAAAATGATTTGCATTTGATCAGCGTAGTAGGAGGAAACAGGAAGATAAAGAAGTACTGTGCAAAAGGACTGGTGACTAGACTCTGAAAATATGTGCTAGTGATCTGAGCTTGTAACAACATGCTTTCTGTAATTTGCTTATTCCCAAGGGAAGCATTAGTAAAGAAGAAGATGTAGTAAAAGACCATAGTATTCCACCATGCTGATTATTTATATATCTCTCATACCTGTAATCAATCATATAATCAACAGAGGAGTTTCAAAGTTTGACATGTACACATGCCTTGCAACACGTCTAAACAATCATAAAAAAAAAGACAAAACCCTTTTTTAAAATTAAGAGAGTGTGAGTAAATAAAGTAAATATTATATAATTTCCAACAAAAAACACATTACATAAAGTGGAATTTTCTTTGAATGGCAAAGGATTTTGATGACCATATAAGTTGGTAATCTATTTTTGATCATAGCTTGATATGAAGGGAGAAAAAAAACAGTACCATAAGCTAATAAAGGCATAGCTTATCATCACTGAACATTTAAGTTTAGAAAAGACATGGGCACCAAAGCACAGTATGAAAGAGGTTGCTGAACTTTTGAAACCCAAACAAAAAATATTATGATACCATCCCTCGCTGAAATGTTCTAAACTCAAAACTTTTTGCTTATCAAACTCCAATTTGTCACAACTGCTGATCCTCCGATGGCCAAACTCTATGTGGCCATGTTGATTAAAGACAAACTGGAGCTCAGACAAGACAGATGGCAGTCTAACCCATGTGTGCACACCTTTTATGTTGTTATTTTAAGATTTTTGTGCTTTCAGTTATGTCCAGCCCCAGCATGAAATCCACTGTCACTTCACCAACACTATTCCTAATCAAATGTAGCCATGTGACTGCGTGGGTGAGAGTGACGCAGACAGCAGAATAAACCTGCTAGTATTATGGGATGGCAGAGGCCTGTACACGTTTCGCACCCCAGCAGGTTGTGCGCACATGTACCATAGCTCCTGCTGTATTTTCTGGTGGCTGACTTGACAAGCAGCCAGCCTGTCTCAAGAAAAACAAGCAACACATAATAATTTCCCTGTCCAAGCCCCAGCATCACTTCCTGAGAGGAGAGCAGCGGTCCAAAAGATATCTCCGCAGCGACCCGTTGCCAGGAAACAGTTTGGGTGGGTTGATGTCTCACAAGTGATGGGCAGAAGTAGCAGCAGGCACTATTAAAGGTTGAGGTTGCTGTACAATGAGATGAAATGTCATCACCAAAATCCAATCCTTTATCTGTATCTTTGACCATTTCAATCGGTCTTTAAAGGTCATCTTTACAGCAAGCTTTGTGTTAAAAAAGGGGGAAAAAAGTCAGAAAACAATGCATTATTTGTTATGTAACACAATATAATGTGAACTAAGCAAATCCTAAGACGCTTTATACCTCTGAAAGACAAGAAAATACATAAATGCAATGTATGAATTATGTTTGTGTGGAATCGTAAATGTGGATCCAGTTTTTACCACTTAATTTATTCTAAATGTGTGTGATGTGTGAGCAACAGTGCCCAAATAATTTCCCTTGTGAATCAATAAAGTTTGTCTAACCATGCCTGTTAGTTTGTTATAGGCCAGACATTCGTGATAAAAAATAAGACAAATGATTAAAAACAATCACTGACTCTTACAAAGATTTAATGTCCTGATGATATAGCTTTAAACAGAAGAGCTATTTTTAGTCCACCACAGTCTGACCTTATTCTGTCAGTCCAGTTGTGACTTGGCGCTGGGCTCAGTGTAGTAGGGCTCTTAAAACATCACTGTCCAGGTCTCCAGAGTGGGCCACTCAACTTAATATGCAAGCGGCCCGTAATAGTCAGCAGTTCCCCACCACACAACTAGTCTGTGTCAAATTTCTGGAAGATAATTTGTTCCATTAAATATTTTATTTTAAACACCACTGAATTTCTCACTTTGAATTTTTTAACTTTAAAAAAAAAATGTTTGAATTATTTTTTCTGAATTTTAGCTGCTGAAATTTTAAGTATACTTTTTCAGTGTTTCCAATTCAGAGTAAAAAAAAAAAATCACTTTTTAAATATTCAGCACATATATTTTCAAGCCCTCAAATTCAACAGTCAAAATTCAGAGTGTAAAATTCCCAGTGAAAAATTTCACAACATCTAAGATGTCAAGGCAAAAGCAATCGATCAAGAGTGAGTGAGGAAGGCAGAGGCTGTTTCCTATTGGCCTTTCTCATCTGTGGGCAGGGTTTACACTTAAATAAAAGAGATGAGGTTTGATGAGGCTAATTCTGAGCAAACAGACTGGTTCACTACACCATTTCCCAGTGGGCCCAAGTCGTTGTTTTACAAGTCTCAAGTAAGTCTCAAGTCCTTGACCTCAAGTCTGAGTCAAGTCCTAAGTCAAAGACAGGAAAGTCCAAGTCAAGTCTCAAGTCACTGGCTCATAAGTCCAACTCAAGTCCAAGTTGTCTGCTTTGAGCTTCAAATAAATTCAAGTCTTTAAATCGGTAGTTTAAACAAGTACCAAATATAGCTTATATTTCTGCATTTATATTTGCACTTATGTGACTTTTAAACTAAATTGTACTTAAAAATTAATGGTTTATTTATATATGAGTATTTGCTGTAGAAATGCAGTTTTTTCCTTTTTAAAGGTCTTGACAAAAGTGTGAATTATTACAGTCAGAACAGAAAAAAATCTGATTTAAAAGTGCTAAATAACTGTTATTTTGTCATGTAGTCTGCACTGAAATGACCATGTTCTACGTAGTTCTCTCTGTTTTACTGTATTATACTGTATATTACTGTAGTACATTTGAGGATACCGTATCACAGTACTTCAGTTACGTACAAAGTAACAAACAGAGAAATGGGAGGGACATGTTCCAGTTTGTTCCAATGAAATTAAGCTGTATCAACTGTAAAGAGAAATGTATTTTCTAAAAACATATTTTTTTTGAAGAAGCATCAAGTCTTCTCAAATCACTGACCTCAAGTCTGAGTCAAGTTCCAAGTCAATGACCTTCAAGTCCCAAGTTTTAGACTATTTTATCAAGTCAAGTCTCAAGTCCTAAAAATAGCGACTCAAATCTGACTTGAGTCCAAGTAACGTCTTGCAAGTCCCCATCTCTGCCATTTCTTGTGTGTTACTAAATTGGATTCTTGTTTGCTGCAATTTTTTTTCACTATGAATTTTACAAGCTTGAAAATATATGTACTGCATATTTAAAAGGTGATTTTTATATATTGAACTTTAAACACTTAAAATGTCAGCAACTAAAATTCAGAATAAAAATAATTTAAGCATGTTTTTTCAGAATTAATAAATTCAAAGTGAGAAATTCAGTGGTATTTAAAATTCAAAATCAGATGAAACTAATTATCTTCCATAGGAATTCACCTATTTTTACCCAATGCCTGTTTATGCATTTTTCTTGCTGTAATATCCTACAAAATTATAATACACACTGATATTAAGCTGTGAGAGTGGTACTGTCTGTCTAACATTAAGCTAGTCTGTTGCAGAAAGAAAGCTTAGTGGTGTAAAGTGGAATAGATTGATAACATTTTAGTGCTAAAAATACTGTAATTGTTATAAAGATATTTTTTAAAACTCGATTTCCCCCGAATAGTCCCTTGCAGAGAGGGATGTCCACTGGGCTGTTACTCTGCTGCCCTCTGCTGGCGACCATGAGAACACCACAACGTGTAAAAGCAGTTTTCCTAGAGAAGACTTACTTTTAAGCCTACCAATTTCTGGAATATCTATTAAAGACTGGGCGAGGGGGTCACAAAATTGTTATTTGTGCATTTTTTAAGACAAAAAGATTTCTATAGTCTTATTACAAAATAGATCATGAGCATTTGAGTGACGTGCTGCATTCTGAATTTATTTACATTATATTTACACCAACAATCTTTTCTGTGACCTTTGGTCAAATCTCAAAGAATGGCCACATTTAAATACAAATTTGAATAAATAAAGTGCTTAACAATATTAAGAGTCCAGCTTTATACCCCACACAATGTATTCTCTACATGAGGAGACTACATGGATTGGGGGGCTCGTGCTGACCTTTCCTCTCTGTCCTGGTGAGGATCTCAAGGACAGTTTGGTTGAAGTCATCTGGCTGGTCTGCAAAAACATAATGTCCAGCTCCCCTGATCACCTAAATAATTTATACACAAGAGATTATATTTCTTAATTATTATCTTAAAAATATGAACATTGTTTGTCTTAGATTCAGTAGCTATCTGTACTGACTTTTATTTCCACATCTGGTCTGGTTTTCTTGACTGCATATCCAGAGTCACTGTCAATGCTTGAGCGGGATCCATAGATAAAGGAAATGGGAATGTCAGCCTGGACCTGTCCAATCCTTTCCAGCATAGGCAGCTGCGCCCAACCATACGGAACTGTCATGTTCTTAAATGCTGTCTCTCCACTGAAACAGGCAGAGCAACGTCACAGCATATACAGTGTATTTTTGTACAACTACTGAAGTACTCTACCTTGGATCCTGTGCATTGAGATGGTAGATGTAGTCAGACACTGTGTTGTCATCAAATACAGAGGAGTATTTCTGCTTAAAATCAGACCTGATTGTCTGGACCAGCATGGGCCCTGTTTCATAACAACAAACAGAAGTAAAAGCATTAGTGTCTGCAGCTTTCTATTTATGTTTGGTCCCTACAAATGTATGGTTCAGACAGAGTGCTGGATGGTGAGGGTCACTAAGGAAACAGTTCATGTTAGATTTTTCGAGGTGAGAGGCTAGAGAGGCCTTGTTGAGATGGGCTGCACTTGTAATGATCAGAGATTGTTAATACACTAGTTAGTGTATGCCGAGGCCTGGGCCAAGATATGGAGTTTGAGGGTCTAGTAACAGAAATAGTTTAAAGCTTAATATCCAGTCTTGTGAGGTCTAATTCTTGTAATAAAGACCTCTACAAACATGTTCTTCTCCTCCAGGGCATGTTTAAAATTTATAGTGTTAGAGAGAATTAAAAAAAAAAATCTCATTGCAGTACTTGACTAAATAGGTTTGATTCTTAAATAAACTTAGTTGAAAAAAAATTGTAAAAAACAGGGTTAATGGAGCCAGATGATTTGTAGTGGTAACTTCTGAAGTGAATTGCAAAAGAAAATAATCTGCATTTTGAAAACATGCACACTAACCTAGGGGGCCTGCCAGTCTGAGCGCGGCCAGAGGGTTGAAGGGGCTCATGAAGGCCCCCATGGCTCGGATCCACACTGGGAGGGAGCTGGGGTTGGGATTTTCGGGCCTTGCTGGAAACCCCCACGGCTCCACCAGCAAGAGATGCTTAACTCTGCAAGTCAGGCACACAAGGGTGAGTTTGAGGCATTCATTTTACAGTTGTTACAAAGCCATACAGATAAAAGAGGATTTGTTTTCCTTTTGATTTTGAAAAAATGTACGTATCTAAAAGAAATATCTAAACTACACAGGGCAGTATTATCAGGGACAGGGAATATGTAATTCAGTCAATCAAGAGCACATGGTCAAATATTTTCCATCTCTCTCTCTCTCTCTCTCTCTCTCTCTTATATATATATATATATATACAATATTTATATTTTATATTTATATTTATATATACATTTTCTCATAGACTTTCTGAAAACACTAATAAGCTTGCTCAGGGCTAATCAGCTCTGCAATTGGACAAACTGCCAAGTTATTAAAACATTTCTCAGAATCTTTCTTTTTAAATGTGCTTTTTGAAATGAAAACAAGAGCATTATGGATATTAGTTTCCACATAGCTGATTAGCCTCCATTGTGCCTTCAAACTCTTGATAGTGTTGAGCTCCATTGCATTCAGTTAGTTAGATCACATGACTCAAGTAAGGAAAAAGTATCTCACCTCTGAGGATATTTGAGAGTGTATGCAGCAGCCAGGTATCCCCCAAGGTTATGTCCCAAAAGAAGCATCTCCTCTAACCCCACTCTCTCCCTCCACTCCTCCAGAGTATCCACAAACTGTCCCTCTGCCAAGATTGGGTCAGTGCAGAATTGCGGCCGGCTACTGCGTCCAAAACCCAGTAAGTCTAAGGCATACACAGGCCCTGAGCTGGAGAGAGCATCCAGGTTCTGTGACCAAAGTGCCACACCGCCTCCAATGCCATGCAGCAGAACTAAAGGAAGCCTTTGATGGGAGGGAAGAGATGAGGAGCTGGCTTGAGTGGAAAAGGCCAAGGTCCACAGAAAGTTGCCATCAGATATCCGAACATGCTGCCTGGAAAATGGCTTCTTAACAACTGCAATGGAATAAAAGTAAAAATAAATAAATAAACCAAAGTCTATTTTTATTTCACAAAGTTTCCTTTTTTCATCCAGGTTGACACAACAACCATTCTCACAGTAATATAGGTGGAGTGCCTACGATGACAGAAAACCAGCAACCCTGTGGTTTTGGTACAAAAAATGTATAACTACACTACTGAAAATGGTAGGAAAATAATACATGATATAAATATTGCATGCATACTTTTAAGCATTTTTTCCTCAGCATCTTTCAGCTGTGTTGGGGAGGTGGGGCGCCATGAGGGAAGCCAATTTGAGACCCAAGAGCTGTAAAGTAAGACAAAGCATGAAAAAGAACATTGTGTACTACCCCTTCTATAGTATATATACATAGATAAAGGTACAATGAACTTTGACCACTGTAATCTGTAAGCATGGAATCTAATCAATAACTACCATAGAACCTTGCCCATACATACAACCATAGACAATAAAGCGAAAAAAGCAAATTAAGGGCATTTTTAAAGTGACAAGTATGGCATTTTAATCATTTAAATTCCAACACACAGAAACTTGATTTGATTGATTTTAAATACTGTGTTTTTTAAATAATATGTTTTTGATGAGCATACGAATATTTCCCTTTTCATCAGTAATTAAAATATATTGACAATAAAAACTGTTAGGTTAGATTAGGTTACGGGTAAAACAGAGAACTTCACGTAGCCTCTGTGTTCTGAAGAGGTCATAGTTCCTCTCGGAAAAATGTGTCGCGGCGGTCACACAGTTAATTGAAACAAACCTCTAACTTTAACATTTACGACAGACTTGGAAAATGACGGAGACAAACTCACCAGGGCTCTTGTCTTGGAGGAATGACCTCCTCTGCCATCCTTCGCATGGTTAATGTGACAGCTCCATCAGACAGTCCACAGTTTGGAGGAGTGGGACATGTGTCCGAAAGAAGGACGGCCGAGGCGTTCAGGCGAAGTACGAAATACTCAGTATAGTAAGTCATAAACACAGTGGTTTTGCCATTTACATACTGCACGTGAACCTCTCAGTTGTTATATAGAAATTGATCAAAGACGCTAAAATTAGTTAAATGGTGATTTTCGTTAGAGAACACCAATGTGATGGTGCACTTCAGCATTAGCATTATTTGGCTAGGTTATAAAATGTGTTTAGGAGGGGCCGCGCTGATTTAGTTATTTTTTCAAATGCTACATTAACACACTATGAAACAAGGATAGGTTTGTTTTGATCGATCGATCCCACTGAGTTCCACAATGCCAAAGCCATCTTGCCCCATGAAAACAAATAGCCTGGACAAGTAACAAGTTAAATCTGTGAATCTGTGGAGAGGTGACGCCGCTCACATGTTTGTTTGTTTTTTTTTCTCTCATTAAGAACTCCAAACTTAGCTAGATAAATTGAATTATTATTATTTTATTTTCAGTAAATAGCTTATAATTTTCTTTAAGATTGTCAACGATCTGACAGTAACATGACTGGCAGTGTACTTCAAACACATAGCATAGACCTCATTTACTATGGACAAAATTTTAAAAAGTGATTGTTCCTCCTCCTTACAGTGATGTTTGGGCTGTATGGCTGGCTATTACAATTGACTTGCAGCTTATAGCTTTCTAGAGATCCAAGTAGTTAAAATTTCATAAGGTTGCAGGTAGTTATAGGCTCCCCATAGGTTAATGCCTGCATCTATATTTACAGTTATGTGTTTTGCAGCCTAACCTGGCCCGGAGAGATGTGTAGTCTTCTACCCCTATAATTATGTGTTTTGTAGTGACTAATAAAGCACTATCTTTGATTTGCACATTCACTTTTTCAGAACATTTAATGGATTTTCTATGTAGTCTATCGCTTGGGAAAAATAATAACATAAAATAATTATCATTTAAATTAATCACCACTGAGGTGTCATTCCTCTCTCTTAAGTAAAAATACTTATCTATAGCAAATGATTGCTCTAATTCTCCTCTATTTTTGTTTTCCATATCCATATTCTTCAAAAGAATGCATTCGCCAACTGGACTGAAGACCATGGCAGATGTAAGTCTGAAAAAACGACAATATGTAGTTGTTAGATATCATACACTCTGAGTCGGGCCCATATAAAAATTAGTAGCAGTTTGAAATTGCAATATAATTAGGTAAATTGTTCCTTCTCTTTGAACTGGTCATTAAGCATATTTGCCCAAACATGCTGTAATTCAGTATCCTTCAGATTAGTCAGCAGCATTTGGTGTTTCTCAGACATTGCCCAGTGCACTATGGGTAATCAGAGTTAGCAGGCTGTTAGAGAGAGGCAGGGAGGATGTGGAAGAAAGGCGGAGGGTCTGTCTGGTTGCTAGGATACGTGGTCGGCGCCAAGAGTGGATATGATTTATAATGGCCCGTCTCTGTCTCACTTTCTCCACTTCTTTCATGTTTCCTCTCCTCCCTCTATCTTTCCCCTGGCCCTGGCCCCTCCTCAGCATCTAATGTGGCTCCATTAGCCCTCCTATAGAACTATGATCAGGGTACTTTGGACTTATGACATTGTTGGCTAATTCCTAGTTTGCCCATTGTGACATATAGAAATGTATAGTTAACTTAATTTTTTATGCATTTCCATGAAGTCTGATGGGTTTCTTCAACACATACTTTTAATTGCAGCATAGCAATCTTTAGGTTGAGTCATGGACAAAAGATATAAATTATAAACCTGATTTGATATACTGTAATTATATGACTACTATTTTACAACTAAAGATGCTTGATTAATTGAATGTGGTGTGTGATGTATGTTCTGCTGTGTTGCTCAGCGGTAAAGCTGCAGCATATGCAGGGGGTTTGCCCACTTCGATGCCAGTAGTTTGCTTTTGGTTTCCCTACTTTTATTGCATGTCTCTCCTCTCTCCACAAGGGGCAGTATTACAACAGTAGAGTTGCACATTTATGGCGATATTTAGTTTATGTCAGTTTTACTGCAGCTTGACCCTATAGCAATTACTTTCTGTGTTAGACCTTTCTTGTCTGTATGTTTGTACTAGTATCTTCACACAACACTTGAGTACAGTATCTTGTTGGACTATTCAATGGCACAAAGATGCATTAGATCCATTCAAAGCATTATTGAGGAAAGCCAAAAGAGTGCTTGGAGCTAAGTGCGACCTAAGTGATGCAGCCATTCAGACTGGAGTGTCCATGCTTCTGCTGCCCTCTCTCAGTCTGTCCAGTGTCTTCCAGTAAATGGAGGATAATTTTAGAGCGATAAAGAGCCCAGAGGATATTGAGGGGCGGTGCACTCTCTCTCTCACACACACACATACACACACACATACACACACACATACACAAGAGCCGGTCCTCATTCGCTCTTGCACCTGCTGACCTCACAGGATCCAGCGAGATCGACTAGTGCTGAGTGTGCGGCTTCCACACACACATACAGGAATGCATACACACTTTGACTAATAGGGCTAATGCTTCCTGAAGAGGGCACAGTGCTGCATTAGCTACGGATGTGGGATTGATTTAGAAACTGAAAGCCTTCTAGTGCGGGTGGGTATTTATCACATTGTGGGGACTAAAATCTGTGTACACACCCAATTCATGGAGACCTGCTACCCTTATGGGGACAAAAATCAGGTCCGCATGATGTAAGTCTATCAATATTGAATTAATGGCATAGTTTAAATTTAAGATATGGGTTGAATATATAGTTAAATTGTTTAGGTTAAGGTTTGGCAAGTAGTAATTCTCAGGTAGCAACTCTGGTTAAGGTTAGTCTACACTACAGTGAATTAATGTAATGTCCTCCAAAAGAACAAAAATCCAACATGTATGTGTGTGTGTATCCATCTCCAGCTCCAACATTATCTATTTGTTCACAGATAATGAAGGCCCACACAGACACATAGCAAATTTACATGATTTTACATTCGATGTCTTTCATTTTGTAACACCAGAGCTTCGAACGCACAATTGGTGATAAAAAAACAAAGCCATAATCATTTCTGAGGAATGCATTAAAAATGTATTGCGCTGAGACGAAATTAATTAATTGTACTTGTTCTAAGACACCTTTTAAAATACAGAAACCTGCAGATTATGTAGTTAATATGTAATACATGTTAAGACACATGGATTTACAGGGTGACTGTTTACGTAAATTTGTGAAATAGTAATATGCTTAAAGTATTACGTTAAAATAGAAGTATCTGATAAACTACTTTAACGGTCCTTACTAGAGATCAACTGATATGGGTTTTTCATGGCTAATGTTGATACTGATTGTTCAGAATCCAGAGCAACCGATGGCCAATAAGCTCTGCCGATATTTTTGGACCGATATATAGGACAGACTTTTTTTTCCCCCAAAATGATGTAATTTAAATGCACTAAAAACTCACCCACAGCCCATTTTTCACCACAAACCTATAAGAGAGCTATGTAGTCACATTTTCAGCAGTTATCTCAGTGTTCAACTAAAGCTTGATGGGTATTTTTAGGCTCCAGGTCACCCAAAACAAAATATCAGCATATGCTAAAGATTTAAGGCCGATAGCCAATATGCTAAAAACTAAAAATGACAGCATGATATATTGGCCAACTGATAGGTTGGTATATTTCTAGTCCTTATATTAGTTCTGTTGTTCCGTTTTCCGTTGGTGTTGCCTTTGCTAACCAGATAATCATATGGCTTTTTTAATGTCAGTTGTCCCATAACCACATAAATAAATTACTGATTCAAAATAAATAGTTCTAGGCCATGGAGAAAAGTAAAAAAACACTGAAACACCTTTAAGTTGGTTTATGGTGCATTAAGTGACAAACTGCGCAGAGAAAGTGTAATGGACCTGACCTGGATGCAGCGTTGAGCTAAATGAAGAAACAAAGACTGTAGCACAGAGGCATAAATCACTGCTACTAAACCAGGTAAGAGCCAGTGCTGTGGTGAGGAGCGAGAGCAGGGTCTAATGGGTTAAAGTGTGATGAGAGCAGAGGATGAGGTGTCCTGGGGGGAGGAGAAGAGAAGGAGCAGATAGAGAAAAGCAGACGTAGAAGAGGTAGGGAATTGATGAAGCAGAAAGCTGGGTTATTCCTGCTGTGAATCTATGTGTCTTTGCTGTGCACCGCCTGTGAGAGGAGGGAAGGCTGTTTGTGTGCGAGTGCATGAGAGGCTGTGAATGGCAGACTCTAGCAGTAAATGAAACTGTTTATCAGATCAATATTGCCATCATCTCACAGATGACTGTGGCCTCTACTGAAGAGCAATCATAAATCACAACCGAATATGGAGGGCAGCGATCTATACACGCCTTGTGTGTGTTGCTGTTGCTCTGTGTGTCTTTGCACGTCCAAGCTGAGTTTCCTTCATAATCTCTATCTACGGTTAGAGGGGGAACCGTCTGCCTTTTGTGCATTTGTTCAGAACTTCTCAAAATTGCTACAATTAAACTGCAATTTTATGTTTTTCTGACTTTTGTGATCCAAACTTTTTCCCTTTTCTGTTAGACTAAGGAATGAGTCACAATGTCTTGTGATGTAACTTCAGATGCTTTTGCCAAATACTGGTAGACAACTGTTATGATTAGTACAAGCTCATCTACTAGATTCTCTGCCATGGAGCAGCAGCCACATTGCAAATGTGATATATACGTCACCTCCATTGTTCCTCCATAGGGTTAACAGGAGTACTCTTGTTCTGCTTTTGACGGCCTCCAGTGCTCACTCTGAATAATGTAGCTCCTGATATCAGTGACAAGAGTCTTGAAACCAAAATAGCATCTTGAGCTCTGATAAATATAGAAGGTAATTAAATCGGCAGGAGGAGAGAGACAGAAAAACCAGGGAACGGAGAAGGTCTGTTTCATGTGTGAAGATAAAGCTCTTTACTACTCCAAACCACACACGATCAAAGCATGCTGTTAGCTGTCCCCCTTTCTGACAAACCCTATATCACCATACAAAAATGTCTGCATTTCCTTGCACATAAGCACTAATAGCTTTTGCAAAACATTTTGGGATGTCATGGTTCACTACTGTCCACTTTGAGGTCCTGCCCATCTTTTCGATCTGTGAGTCAGCATAATTTCAATGCTCAAGAGCATGTGTCAGCTGCCACTTTGTGCTTTTGATGCTGCAAAGTTTTCTGTACTGTCACTTAATTATTCCTTTTTTGTCAAATGTTTTATGTGCAGGAAAACAAAGAAGTGATGGATCCCTACGTT